CATAACAACTACTATAGCAGAAGACTTCGGACTAGATGCGTCCTACTAAGTCTCCCTGACAACAAGACCAAGTTGCGGCAACGAGGTCAACCCATTTCTATCCTTAATTATGTTGCCTAACATACATGCCCGTCACATAGGAAAGATTTCGCATTTGTTGCATCAAAGATACAATTACTTTGAAATTAACTTTCGCACGAACCTGTCTCGTGTGGCTGCATAAATGGCAGCAACTTTCGGACCGAACTGACAAAGTTGTTCCTAACTGAAGGCTGAAGTCGGATTTCCTTGTGGCTATCGCGAACTGGCTATAACGGAGTCTCCTTACGAGTGTACTTCTCTCCGCCATGCCATCTTCCCACCCAAATTAGCTCTTTTTAATCCCCATGCATCATTGGCATGATTCCATTCATTTGACAGTTGTGCAAACTTACATGTTCTTGAATAGGAACTAGATAATTTTGAAATCTACTCTTGCTCTACATATGCAACTCTTCACGTAAACCCTGGCCACAGGTCTCGCGAAATGATGGTCCTGGTGGGTAAACTTCTGAGTGGCCAGAAAAATTTACTTTATAGGAGCTGTCTACAGCCCAGACTAGCTTAATAACGAAAATATCATGGTATTTGCTTACCTGGGCAATTCGCTTCGTCGTATTCGTTTCCGCAGTCATCCTCCCCATCGCAATGCCAGAAACGAAGGTAACAGCTTCTGCGCGGCTCGCGACCTTTATGCTGCTTACAGACATAGGAGTTAGGCTCGCATTCCACTAAAACCGGTCAAATAGGCCGGATGAGACGGAAAAGAGCAAATATGCGTCATGATATTATGAAACAATTAAGTACAAGCGATAAGCTAAGATTTGCTTTTAGCAAAAATAGCAAAATGAACTGAACCTTGCCTCTCTTCTTGTTCATAGGCAGCTCACATGCCATTGGCTGGAGTTACCTCAACTCTAAGTTCTGTTTAACTTGAGATAAGATGATAGATACATTTTGCCAAAATGTTGTAAGTGGTCTTCAAGATGCAATCGTCCAGGTCTCATTAGTCTCCCAACAACAATCGAATCTTTTATTCCCGACATGTTACTAATACACAACATTGCCATGGCTACTAGTGGGTCAAAGGGTAATCATGAGTTTCAAGACAAGTCATGTCTGTCTTATCACATATAGTGAAATTGTCGATGTTGAAAACAAATGCTGACACACCTTTCGTTTCGTTTGAAAAAGGCGGCAGAAAGGGGCTCGTAAATTGGCTGCATTAAATATCAAAGGTGACTTGCCTTGGAGCTGTGACTTTTGGATTGTGCGAAGAATACCTTGGCTCACCGTCCTGTAAGCCTAATGAATCCATGCTGAGCTTTCATACGTCATGTGACGTACATCATTAAAGCTAGAAACCATGGGTCTTTTTCACTCAATCCAGCAGTCGCATGTCTAGGGCAATCCTCCTTTGGTATCTTCTGGGGCCAATTTATGAGTCCATTCCACCCGCCTTTTTAAACGAAATAAAGCGTATGCAAGAATCGTTCTATAAAAGGATTCTTCGAAACTTAATTTCTCTCTATATCTTAGGTAAAAACATATTTTTACTATTGTAATCGACTACATTACTTGCATTCAAGTTGAGTAGTTTTCGAAACAACCAATAGATTATATATAAGATCTAGGTCGCATGTGATAAAGGACTAATAGCTGAATTTCCTCCAAATGATATGATTACGCGACCCAGGGTGAATTCGGTCCTTATTCAAGCTCTAATAATAGTCTCGTAATATAGCCGATTATGATGACAAATAGAAGTTTGTCCCATCGAAAATCCCTCTATAAAATGTGTTCTGGGGGTGACCCGGCTTGCCTTGAAAGTCACAACTGCCCCATGACTTACTGGTATCCGTAGCATAGTAGTGTAAGGGTAACATGATGAGTCTAAATGAGATACAATGGCAACTCATATAATTGTTGGGACATTTAACTATAAGTCCTTCATTACCTTATGGGAACTAGGATGAATACAGCTCAAACTCCGATTCTAAGCAATACCAATACAACGTAAGTAGTGTTAATCACAGAGAAAACAGATCCACAATTATATTTTGGTTTCCCAAGGCTCACCATTCCAGAGTTTTAAGCTTTTAAGCTGGTTTTTGCAGGTCGCTATGGTCGATATTAAGACAAAATGACCATTCCTAAATTGTTAGTCTTCCCATTGGAGACCTTGAAG